CTCTCTCTCTCTCTCTCTCTCTCTCTCTCTCTCTGTGTGTGTGTGTGTGTGTGTGTGTGTGTGTGTGTGTGTGTGTGGACTTCCACCAGCATGCTCACCAAACCTTTGCCATGGAAATTTGGAACAGGAAGATCAGTCCAGTACTAGTGCTTGCATGAACAGGGTTTTCCTTCTGATCCTATTCTGCATAATTATCTGCCTGAGGGGTTTGGTCACAACATCAAAGTCCCAGTTGTAACAATTTGACTTGCTGAGGTTGCTGGTGACAAAAAGCATCGCGTGGATTCACTGGAAAGGCAAGAGGCAGACAAAGCACCTGAGCTAACTTGAAGGCTGGTGAATTCTTACGATACTTTGCATGGAAATGTTCCCGCAGGCTCCCCGGTGTTCTGCTCTTCACAGCATGAATAGAGACCTGAAAATGCCGCAACCAGTTTCATCAGCACTGTTGTCAACCGTGAACCAAAGCAGAGATGCATAGAGCAAACAAACATTAGGTCATCAGCTACCTGACCAGAGAATTCATGCTGTCTCCCCCAAGAGACTAAGTGAGACCCTAGTTCCTTGAATTAAGCTGACTACCTGGAGTTGGGCAGCAATCACCAGCGAAAGGGGATGCAAGCTCATCCTACCTGCTGGGAAACGTGCCAGATTTGGTTTGGCCAAACCTTCCCATTCATGGAGACGGCACAATATCGTCCAGCATATGGCTTCTGCTTGATCGATGGGGAACATGCACATCACTTCGCTCAACCCGAGAATGGAAGATCTCATCAAGATAATAAACTTCGGCGTAAACATGATAACATTCTCTTTTCTTTTACTCTACGTTCAAGACGGAACGCTGGTGGAGAGCGGATTTCATTGCCTGTTTACCACCCCCAGAAATCCCCCAAAGCCTCGCTCGTACTCAGTAATACGGGACATAGGGAGGGAAGAAAGTCCAAGCAACTACGTACCGCATTAGGTATAGTCTCGATTAATGCCGTGTGTGACGAGGTTACCAGCACTTCATAGGGCCGCAGCCAAAGCGGAAGCCCCGCTTCCCCAAAGATGTCTGTGTCACCAAGGTTAACGAAGAGAGACAAGACCACACAGACAACAGTGTCAACATGGGTTGTGTAATTCTCTGATGTTTGATGAGGTTACCAGCACTCCCTGTGATGTTAGCAACAAGACCACACCGATACCGTGATGTGTAGCACCAAAAATGTCCCTGAAGACAGTGAAGAGGTTAAAAAAAAGTCAGTGAATAAGAATTTGTGTACATGTTTTAATGCTACAAACGTTAATATGTACTGGGATCAGCATTTGAAAACATCTCTGCTTCACAAAACCCCCCTAATAGGAAGAGAGGTCACCTTCAGAAACCAGCTCGACTTTGAAGTCAAAACAGTTCGACAGCTCAAAGGTACGCTCCGATTTCGCTTTGTGGTGCTTCAGAAAGCATCACATTCCAGAAACAACATCATCAGATAAATCCATCCCCAAAAACGCAGCACTAACCTTCTGTTGATCCGCGCCTTCACGTGTGTGTCTCAGGGTGTCCTCACACTAGCACTTTCTTTTATGCATCTGGCTGGCAATTACAGCCATTGCTGGATGAATGTGCCCGCAACCGCGTCCAGAGGATAGTAGGAAAAGTCCTAGTGTGAGTCTGGCCTCAGAATAAGAAACCCCTTCACGTGTGTATCTCAGGGCATACTCACGCTAGCACTTTCTGTGATGCATCTGGCTGGCAATTACAGCCATTGCTGGATGGATGAATGTGATCGCAATTACGTCCAGAGCAGAGTAGGAAAAGTCCTAGAGTGAGTATGCGCTCAGAATAAGAAACCCCCTCACGTATGTGTCTCAGGGGGTACTCGCACTAGCAGTTTCTTTGATGCATTTGGCTGCAATTACGGCCACTGCTGAATGAATGTGACCGCAATCACGTCCAGAGTATTGTAGGAAAAGTCCTAGAGTGAGTATGCCCTCAGAATAAGAAACCCAAACTCCACAGAAACTAAACCCTGGCTGCAATTACTTTCAAGGGAATCGATTGGCAGGAATAGCTGCTGCTAGGTAAGTGCCTCACTCATTCAGAATCTAAACCCTGTTTGCTTCTAGAAATCCTTTTCCCTTCGACATACATGCTTTTCAACACCCATCCCCATACCAAACAAGAGTACAAAGCATAGTTGCGGCGCACCAGTGCGCAGTGCGGGACGGGGCGGTGCACAGTGCACGCAGTGTGCGCTGTGCGCAGTGCGCCAGGTGCGTGGAAAAAAAAGAAGAACAGAACATTTATTCGTGCCACAGAGAGAGAGAGAGAGAGAGAGAGAGAGAGAGAGAGAGAGAGAGAGAGAGAGACCAAAGGGCCCCCTTAACATCAATTCAGGGCCCCCTGCAGGTAACTCAAATTGCTCCGACAATGCACTTGGACACTGTGGAGGCATTGAGGACCGTCACTTCAGCAAGCAGGATGGACGCGTCATATATGGGAGAGGTGGGAGCAGACCACCAATATATGCTGTGGGTGCGATTTCAGGTCTGTAGCTCAGGAGTTATGGGTCACCAATTCAGCCAGACCCTGTTCGTCTCCACGTGATTCTCAGGGCCTAGCTCCACCACTCCCCAAATGTATAACATAAGAATGAATCTTTTGCTGAAACATGGAACCATACACCGCCAAATGAATGCCTTTTGTGCATGTGGTGAGTAGTGACGAGAGGCCCCTTGGGCCACTGTACGTATTTATAAGAAAACAAAAAGAAAAAAACGAGATAGGTACAGGCATCTTCATCCTAACCTATAACTGCCGACATGCAGACCTGAATGCCAATTTTCAGCATATATTGGTTGTCGGCTGGCCTCACCAAACATATATTGTGACTTTTGTAAGACGGTGTGGGGCAGGGCATTATTGGGCAATTATACCCTTCTTGCAAATTCGTCCACCGCTGTGTTGGATTTGCAGAAGGGAGGGGGAAGGCCCATTAACACACCCCGCCTAAAGAAGAAAACTGGAATGAGGCTCAATGAGCCCTTGTTTTCCTGATCCACATTTTGAAATTTTTGGGGGTGGGCCGCCGGAATTCAAAATCCGGCAGCCCTTGCCCAAAGAAAAAATATTGGGCCAAGGGCGCAGACGGTTTCCAAACTCGCGCGGCGAGTTGAACATTTTTGCTAGGGTGGGTGCCATAGGAAATTATGAAACCCCTACTTTTTTCTTTTTTGGACCTTAATTTTTCCGGTGTGGTGCGCTTGTAGCGCTGCGCATGTGCAAATCCGCGCACCGAGGTGCGCCGCAACTATGGTACGAAGCATACTTGCGGCGCATGCCGTGCGCAGCGTCGCGGCACGTGCGGCGCAGAGCGCAGCCGGCGCACGCACGGCATGCGGCGCATCGGCCAAAACCGGGGTCGTGGA